ACTGTCGAGTGATAAAGATCATCAACCTGGCTCTGCAAGAATTTTGGGTTGGCAGTCAAAACCAATCAGATCGGTTCTTTCCAAGTTCCAGGTCCAACTTGGCCATTAAATTTTGGTTTTTTCCTCGAGTAACGTTGATTGGTTTGATATGCTGCAATCGTGAACATCCTTAAGATAATATGCAGCAGCCGCCATCATGAAAGCAACCAAAGAAGCTGAAGCTGGTTCCTGATCATAGAAATAGAAAACGTTGGTTTCCTTTTGCAACTTGAAATTTTTAAGGCCGGTGAAGGTTTAATTCTGATCGAGACCGAATAATTATCAACACCCCATTGGCTGATTGTTCTTCTTTTTCACATGGTTGTTTGTTTTCGAACTCGACAGTCCCAAATATTTAAGGTGTTTTTGTATTTAAAATTTGATATATATATATATATATAATATGATTATTTTTATAATTAATTTTCATATAAAATCTTGAATTCATCACTTTCAGATTTAGTCTAACAGGTAGAATGTTCCTATCAATCACAAACGCAACCGATAAGAGTTGCCACCTTGTTGTACTTACTCAACTTGTTAAATATTTATAACCCTAGAGATTTAATAGTTTTAGATTATTAATTAGATAATTAAATTAAATTAAATAGTTGATTGTGTTTTCATAGAGTTGAATTTGAATTTTTTCTATCTGATTATTAATTGGATGATTAGATTAAATTAATGATTGTGTTTTCGTATTGTTAAAATTATATGAATTAAAAAATGATATTTATTTGCAGAGCTTAAAATTAATATAGAAGATTTACAATCAAGTGCAGCAGTAAATTTGTATAAATATTGGAGGGAAAAATAAATCAAAAGTTTGAATAAGCTCGTTTGACACTTATAATTAGAATCTATTGAGCACAATTAAATTGAAATTTAATACTAATTTGGTACATAGTTTTGATTCAATCAATTAAAAATTTTAAAAACATGAAAAATATGGGAATTTTTTTGAGTGAATTGGGCCTAAAGGCCCTGCACTGGCCCGCCCAGTCCAGAAAAGACACATATAGTCCAAATGAAGCCATGACCGACACTCAAAATTGACTTACAACCTGTCTAAAGTGACGGTGCATAAAAAAAAATAAAAAACAATGGGCTGAAAGCACACGTGGCAAAAGGAGAATGAATAATCGGAACGCACCGTACGAAGACGAATAGGACAGAAACCTGGGCCCCGATCTAGTGGGTTAGGTGCCCCCATCAGCCCCCAGCCTCCTTTCGTGTTGTTGGTTGTCTCTCCTCCTCCTTAGAGCACTCCCAAAACACGCTCTCGCCCCTTTTCCAGATCTCACACCCCCTCTCCTTTTCCGAAAGAGAGAGTTTCTCCACCATACAAAAATGGAATCTCGATCGAGATCTAAGGACAAATCGACGACGTCGATGATCTCGGCGGTTCTCTTCCTGTTTCTCATCCACGGCGCTCACTGCTTCTACCTCCCTGGCGTCGCCCCCGAGGACTTCCAGAAGGTCGGTTCTCGGTTTCTCTTTGCTCGATCTGCTTTGTTTCGTTTGATCTGGTTTTGATTTCGTATCTTAAATTTTACCTCTGCTTGTTTTTAATAGAATAATAGGATTCATGTATGATCATTGTTGGTAGGTGATTAATGATAATTTTCTGTGTTGGAAATGGAAATGACGGCTTTATAATTCTTTTTTCGTATCGAGTTATTTTATATTCATCTTGGTTGTTCGAAGGGATTTTTGTTTGAATAAATTAGCTGCATTTATACCCAATGATTTCTTTAACTTTTTTGTCCTTTTGTTCGAAAACATTGAGCGTGCATTCTTTTAGTGAATTTGTAATTTTATGCCATTTTTGCATTTATCCGAAGCATCTAGCATTGCAGTTTAAGCTGATCGGGTTCTATGATGCAGCCTAGAGTAATTATTGCTTAAGATTAGGAATTGTGTTCTCTAAAGAGATTTAATTTACATATTGTCTTAATGGGAAGCTTACTCAATTATTTCTAGTGATTAGTTACCTGGTGCTTATCATGTGTACCTAATTGATGACAACTCATCTATTCCCTAATTACTTTAGTTTCGCTCAGCATGCTGTAATATTTGGAAGTGTTCAATGAGGAATTTTGTGGTCTTGTTTAGTTATTGATTTTGTTTTTTGTTGGGGTTTGCAGGGGGATCCTTTGAAGGTGAAAGTGAACAAATTGACGTCTATAAAGACACAACTTCCTTACTCATACTATTCACTTCCTTTTTGTTCGCCAAAAAAGATCCTGGACAGTGCAGAGAATCTTGGGGAAGTGCTTCGCGGTGATCGTATTGAAAATTCTCCTTTTGTGGTCGGTTTTTAGTGTTTCTTATGATTATGGGACAGATTGTTTATTTTGTGGCTATTAACTTGTTCTCTTTGACTTGAATTGATGCAGTTTAAAATGCGGGAGCCACAAATGTGTGCTGTTCTTTGCCAAATTACACTTGATGCCAAAACTGCAAAGCATTTTAAGGAGAAGATTGATGATGAATATCGAGTCAATATGTATGCTATTCATTTCTCCAGACATGGAATTCATCTGTTGCTCTCAAGATTCTTTTTCTAATTAATTTGTGATTCATGTAACAGGATCCTTGATAACCTTCCCCTTGTTGTTCCCATAAGAAGGTTAGATCAGGAGGCTCCTACTGTTTATCAGCTTGGGTACCATATTGGGCTCAAAGGCCAATACAGTGGGGTAAACATGATAATCTGAAATGTTTCCTTATTTGTTGGTGTATTAGCTACTATGTATGCTTACTTTGTCTGGTTATGCAGAGCAAGGAGGAAAAATATTTCATTCACAACCATTTGGCATTTACTGTCAAGTATCACAGGGATCAGCAAACTGACTCTGCTAGAATTGTGGGATTTGAGGTTAAGCCATACAGGTTAGTTCTTCTGAGTTCTGGCATACCATAAAATTGATGATTCTGGGTCTGTGGCTGAGATCATGGAATCATGTTTTGATGGCATTTTCATTACGCTCTAAAACAATGCAGTGTTAGACATGAATATGAGGGGAAATGGAGTGACAAGACTCGTTTGACAACTTGTGACCCCCATACTAAACGCACAGTTGTTAATTCTAACACTCCTCAAGAAGTTGAAGCAGGCAAGGAAATTATATTCACATATGATGTTGAATACCAGGTGAGCTCTTCAACTGTAAATAATTTTTAGGATTGACAGTTGCTATGTTAATTGTTTCAGTGTCAACCATGGGCTGAAGCCCTGGGGGTGATGATCATTTGTGTTTAAGTAAATTCTGCTGGCTATTTATTACTTGGCAGAAGTTCTCTGTTGGATCACTTTTCTTGAAATAAGGTTAAAACTAGCTTGCTTGTGACATCAGTCACCAATGGGGAGCTAATATTCTTATATTCTTATGCTGATTTTCAGGAGAGTGAAGTGAAGTGGGCATCTAGATGGGATGCATATCTTTTAATGAGTGATGACCAAATACACTGGTTCTCAATTGTCAATTCCTTGATGATTGTTCTCTTCCTTTCGGGCATGGTAGCAATGATTATGCTACGAACACTTTACCGTGACATTTCGAAGTATAATGAACTTGAGACTCAGGAAGAAGCCCAAGAAGAGACTGGATGGAAGCTTGTCCATGGGGATGTTTTCAGGCCTCCATCTAACTCTGATCTTCTCTGTGTCTATGTTGGAACTGGTGTTCAATTTTTGGGCATGGTACTTGTTACCATGATCTTTGCTATTCTTGGATTTCTTTCCCCTTCGAACCGTGGTGGTCTTATGACAGCTATGCTCTTACTTTGGGTCTTCATGGGCATTTTAGCTGGCTATGCCTCTGCCCGTCTATACAAAATGTTCAAAGGAGCAGAGTGGAAGAAAATAGCTCTCAGGACTGCATTCATGTTTCCTGCTGTTGTCTTTGCCATTTTCTTTGTCTTAAATGCTCTCATATGGGGACAGAAATCTTCTGGGGCTGTACCATTTGGGACAATGTTTGCTCTGGTCCTCTTATGGTTTGGAATTTCAGTTCCACTTGTTTTTGTTGGTGGTTATGTTGGGTTCAAGAAGCCAGCAATTGAGGATCCTGTGAAGACAAATAAAATTCCAAGGCAAATCCCTGAGCAGGCTTGGTATATGAACCCAAGTTTCTCTATTCTGATTGGAGGAATACTTCCATTTGGGGCCGTTTTCATTGAACTGTTCTTCATTCTTACCTCAATCTGGCTGAATCAGTTCTACTACATCTTTGGTTTCCTGTTCTTGGTCTTCATTATTCTCCTTGTCACTTGTGCTGAAATAACCATTGTGCTTTGCTACTTCCAGTTATGCAGTGAAGATTATCTATGGTGGTGGAGGTCATATCTCACATCAGGCTCCTCAGCCTTGTACCTCTTCCTCTACGCTACATTCTACTTCTTCACAAAGCTTGAGATCACTAAGCTGGTTTCTGGGCTCCTATACTTTGGATACATGCTTATTGCTTCATATGCATTTTTTGTGCTAACCGGCACCATTGGATTTTATGCATGCTTTTGGTTCACAAGGCTCATCTACTCATCTGTCAAGATCGATTAAATGTGTAGAACAGGATTATGCTTTTTATGGTGGTGTTGTCTACAACGAACATTGTCTTAGGTTAAGATTCAAGATTAAGATATATATCATGCTTTCAGTTGTAAACTTTAATGCTCATTTTTGAACCGAGTTCATTTCTGTAGTTGATTTGAAGAATACCTGATTTCTAATGTATGTTGAGAGGATCTTCTTGTGATTCTTTAATCAAACATTCTTTTATGTTGTAGTGCAAAATTGCTGCGAAAATTCAGGAGAATTCATGAATGAACTGATCTACCAGTTTATGTATACTTTCAGGATGAAAAAAAGAAATTGTTTGCTTGCTGCTCATGTAGAAATAAGAAACTCATTGGAATTATTTCCTTCTTGTTGTCCATTACTTTGTATTGCAAGCTGTGTAGCAGCTATGGAATTATTGCAAGTAAGCTACCCGACTGCCCCCGTGCCACGGCGGCAAGGAAGCCAGGTACCCCTACGGAGCCACAAATCAGTAACTGAGGATCCTGTGAAGACACATAGCATCCCAAGACAGATCCCTGAGAGAGCTTGGTATATGAACCCGGTTTTCTTAGTTCCGATTGGAGGAATACTTCCTTTTGGAGCCGTTTTGAATGAACCGTTTTTTTGTTCTCCCCTGAATCAATTATTCTACGTCTATGGCTTCCTCTTCTGGTCTTCATTATCCTCTTCATCATCTGTGCTGAAATAAACCATTGTGTATCTCTGCTACTTCCACTTATGCAGAAAGGATCACCAATGGTGGTGGAGGTCGTACCTCACCTCAGGCTCCTGGGCTTTGTTCATCTTCCTTTGTTCTACAACCTTCCTGACTTAGTTCAATGGAGTTTTGTGCTATTGGAGAACGTAAATTGAATATTTTGTGAGATTTGATGTAGTTCAAGTTTCTGTATGATATTTATCAAGAAAAAATAAAGAAAGAAAAATCTTTCTGTATCATAACAGCGGAGTTCTTGACGTTACAAGGAAGGAGTTTTAACTAATTTTCTTCTTGCATGCATGAACAACAAGAAGAACACTATTAGAAAGAAAATTGCACTTAGAACTAGTTATTACACATACTACTTCCTGGGATGGGTGTCCTCAGGGTCAGCAACCCCTGTGGCTACCTTGGCAACATCAAGGGCAGTGGCTTCACGCTTTTTTCTGTAGTACAACACGGAGTACCCTACGGCGGCAGTGACGACGAGGCCGCCAATGGTGATGGTAGTCATGGTGGCGGGAAGCTGGCGTCTCTGGTGCAGCACTTCACCTGGGTGGTGGCCTGGTGGCCTCTTGGATGCTTCCACGCCTGCTGCTCTTACTTCTTCAGGGTTCATCTTGTGGGTGTTGCGTTTTTTCTGCAATCGTCCACCTTTGCCATGTTTCTCAGTAAGCGAACCTGAAACTCCAAAAAAGTATAAACGATTCCTTTTATATCTCTGTCAGGGGCTTTAGGAATGGAACAGCCAGCGTCGCCGGCATTTCCTGAAGAGGAAACACGTAGCGTTTTGCGGCGGTTGCATGGCATCCTGTGTCGTTGCCACGTGTTCACTCCTAGGAGGCGGCGGCACAACTCACGGTGACGGTCACAGAACAAAAGACAGCAAGCACCGACAGGCCATAGGCCGCAGCCCAACTTTGTTAAGAGTACAAACATTCTGAGCTTTGTAGCTGGTTTGTGATCCATATGGGTGACTACCTTACCTGATGGGCTTTGTTTTTGTGGTTTTGTTAATTTTTAATATTTTTTAAAAACATAAAATTATTTTTTTTTTTTAAAAAATATTTTTTACTTTTTAGTTTAATAAAAAGCAAATATCATGTTGTTATTTTTATAATGTTATCACGAAAAATATTTGAAGATAGGAAATTTTTTGAAAACAGACTGCAGGATTATCTAAATAATAAAAAATAATATTAAAAAAATTTTGATAAACAAAACAAGATCTTACTGTAATTATCACCAATTAAAGATCATGGGGATTAGAAGTAGGTAACGGTGCAACAATGGTAAAAGAGAGTAAAACGCTTGATGGTAGGAACAGCTAGGATTAAAAGGCCCTCAGCAGGGTTTTTCTGTTTTTGACCGTTAAGATACCATGTTCCACTTTTCATGCTATTTTATCCGTTACAGATGGCTGAGGGACAGTCGGTCAGAGACGCAGAGCCCAGCAGGCCACGTGGCCAACATTAACACCATCCTCGTAACGGCTAGTTTCCCTCTTCTTTTCCAGTTTCTCCCTTCTATAAATGAAGCAAGACCCTGACTCGCTTCCCCATCCGCCAAGTCCCAGCTCACCTCTTGGCTTTACTTCCTTTGTTTGCTTTTTCAGCTTTTAGCCCCCCTGTTCAAACCTCCAATTCCACAATGGCTGCTTTTGCAAGAACTCTAACTTCTTCCTTGCTGCTTATGTTTCTTTTTTTAAACTATATAGAAGCTAAGGAAATCTTGGTTGGTGGCAAGACAGACGCTTGGAAGATTCCATCCTCTGAATCGGACTCTCTCAACAAATGGGCTGAAAACTCCCGTTTCCGCATTGGCAACTCTCTCGGTAATAAGCTGCTTCTTTTCTGAGTTTTGGGCTGTGTCTTTTTTCTTCTTCTTGTTCTTCCAGTTTTCCTAATTCTCTTCTGGGTGTTCATGCTTCAGTGTGGAAATACGACGGTAGCAAAGATTCAGTGCTGCAAGTCACTAAGGAGGATTACGGAAGCTGCAACACCTCGAATCCTATTGCAGAGTACAGGGACGGGAACACCAAGGTGAAGCTTGAGAAGTCTGGGCCATTTTACTTCATCAGTGGAGCACAGGGTCACTGTGAGCAAGGCCAGAAGTTGGTTGTGGTCGTGTTGTCTCCAAGACACAGGTACACTGGAATCTCCCCGGCACCTTCTCCGGCAGAGATTGAGGGTCCTGCAATTGCTCCTACAAGCAATGCTGCAGGGTTAAAGGCTGGTTTCTTGGTGACGTTGGGGGTGCTGGTTTTGGGGTTGCTTTGAGATGTGAGTGGAATTTCGGGTGATTTTGCTATCCATTGATGGGGAGATTATTTCATTTTTTTTAATATCTAGTTGAGATTACAGTAATTCATTTATTACTTTAATGATTCTACCATTGATTCAATTCATGCTATCCATGCCAAACTCATCCTTTTTTTGGTCTACCATTACTACAAGTCTTGTGCAACAAGTAACTAGCATTATTCTAGAAACATATGGCTACAGAAGAATCTGTAAGATTTTCTCCATTAAAAAACAAAGACATTCAAATTCAGAAGTACACTTGACAGAAACAATTACTACAGGTTAACATAGGTAAAATGATAAATCAAAATTCCACTTGCTGCTGGTAGCAGACCCAGAAACCTGTGAGAGTAAGAAGAGTAGATGCAATTGAGTCAATACTTAAAAGATTTTTATTTACACACAAGAAATACTATCTCCAACAGTTCGTATTCCAGACAGTATTTAAAGGGGTACTGTGGAAATAGGAAGAGAGGTTCTTGGTTCTTGTGATATGGTTCTACTGAAATTACAAATATAAATTTCCATCCACGTGCAGGGTGCGAAGAGGAAACCGTTACTTTTATCGATATATAGGCAATTTATGAAGGGAAGGGAGAAAAAGGCTTTACAATCAAAGTTGGTTGGCCATTTAGAATGTAAAGGGAACAGAAATAATTTTAATCACTTTAATTCGGATTTCTTAAACCATGGGAGGCCTTGACCCCCCCTATTCTGTCAAAACAAACACATATGGTTATTCTCCCACTTGGGCATATTTTAATAGCAGAGATTGCATCCAATCAAGATATCAACTGCATATTGGCACACACACCACTAGGGAGTAGAAATGTTTTGCAAATTTTTAAGACAATAAAAGGAAACAAAAGAACCGTAACAACTGTGAAAATAAAGACAACGTAACAATTATATACCATGATTAACTGGGAGATCAGCGCAGAGGTAGGTCATCATCTGAAGTATCAGCCTGCAGAGGTCCCTTAAAACCATCTTTATTATCACCAAAAAGCTCCCTGGCTGCCTTCTCAAGGAATTCTTTAGTAGCAGCTTGAACACTTTGCTTTCCAGATGACTGGTATTTTCTCTTCTTAACACTACTATCTGAATAATTGATTCTCGGGCCCTCTCCTCTACTGATTTGCCTCATACTTAGTCTCTGCTCTGCAGAAGATGGAAATTCTTAGGAAAGTAGATGAAATCAAGCAGCAATCCATGTGAACAACCAAGGAAGTGATTAATCACTTACCAGGGGTCAGGTCCGGTAAAGAATGCTCAATGAAACGGGTTGCTGCCTGAGAATTCAAGGTAGTTGACGGTCGCAATGGTGCTTCAAGAACAGATTCATGCTTATGTTAGAAACTGGTATAAATAGAATTTCAAAATGATTGCAAAAACGGAATAGTAGAATCTTATACTTCCGGAAAAAATGCAATGACTTCATTTTAGTAGGCATCTATGGTAAGGAGTGAGAGAAAAATGTGTACCTTTACTCAAGTATATGAACCGCTGTAACTTGTCTTCATACAAGCTCAATCTCTCCTACATATGGAAACCAAAATAGAATAGACAAGTTAAGCCAGATATGTCAATAAAACTTTGGAACAGACAAACCAACTAATGATATCCTAATGTTAAGACATATACTAGAAACATGACCTCTTGATTCTCACATAAATTAAGTACTATCATCAACCAAAAGCTTAAAACATTGTTTCAAATAAGATCAGAAAGGGAATTACTACAGAAATTTGAAAGCTTCCCAACAAAGAACACATATAAACAAACAAACCCAGAAAGAAAAATTGAAAATTTAAGTTCAAAAGGAAAAGAATTGAAGGGTTAGAACACATACAAGCTCTGATTTAATAGGATGGTCGTCTGGATGCACTCCACTGCATCTCAACCTCACTACAAAAGAAAAAAAAAAACCATTATCACAAGCAAAAAGTAAAGTCAAGCATTCAAATGACTTCATAATAATTAACATCCAAAATCCAATCCGGAAAACAACAAGAAAATGGGAACTTACGAGTGAAAAGAGTAGTAGTAGCTTTGGCAAGCGAGAGCAAAGCCTGAGCGCGTTGAAGAGGGGGCATTTCAGCGAGGACATCAGGGTCAGAGAGAGACAAGAATTGGAGCAAATGGGTCCTCACGTCTTCAACGTTTGCTAGCGTTGTCTTCACTGAATCCATCACAGAATCTGGGATTACTGAGCTTCCTCCTTCCATTCTTGTTAAAGATTCAAACTTTACTCTCTCTCTCTCTCTCTCTAGGATTAGTTCCAGCGCCTTTAGAGAATGATGTTATACATAAAAATCGGTAAGGCTTAAGGGGTAACCCAGAGAGGTTTATGCCGGCAGTTAGGTTTACCACAATTTTTGTTAATGCTTCAAAGTTCAGACTTTGAAAATAGGCAATAAAACTTCCTCCTTTTCCTTTTTTTTTTAATATAAGTTTTTAGTTATTTTTTAAAATAAAATTTAAGATATTTAATATTTTATTTTTTTATTATAAAATTATTTTTCATAATTTTTTTAAATATTTTCACATTAAAAAATTGAACATTAAATACTATAAAATGTATTCTGAAATATAATATAAATCATATTAAAATTAAGATAGTAAACTAGATTTAGGGGAGGATAATGCCAAAGTGCCAAAAATATCCGAAACGCCTAAAATTTGTGGTCATTGAACTCCTGTAAGCAAAGCCGATAGAAGTCTCTACTTGAATATTTAATATAACCGTATCCAATTTCTCTCCATCTCTCTCCAAACAGCTATTTTTGGTAAGCAAATGCCCTTTTCTCTGTCTTTACGTTTTTATGTTCTTTCAAGGACAAAGCAACGAACAGCAGTTATGCAAAAAGTGACCCATCTCTGATTACTTGCTCATGATCATCGTCTTCTTGGTAATAACTCTTTCATGGCTGTTTTAATACTCTGCTCAACGACTGCTTGCTGCAATAGTCTCAGTTACAGTTGCATTTTAGTTGATAGTAAAGTTTCTGCTTTTAGCCATAAAAATGTCTACTTTGGAGGTAGAAAGAATGGAAATTTGGAGGTTTTGCCATATGGTTGTATGGTGAGTTGGAAGAAACGTAGAAAACAACGATTGGGTTTCTATGTGATGAAAAATTCATGTGAAATGGTGGTGGCAAATGGAAAATGCAAAAATAGTTTGTCTTCTGAGGAAGTTTTGAGGGTTCTCAAGTCGTTTCCAGACCCAAAATCTGCTCTTTCTTATTTTAAGTCAGTTGCAGAGTTGCCCAATGTTGTTCATACCACTGAAACTTGTAATCATATGCTTGAAGTCTTGAGAGTTCACAGAATGGTGGGGGATATGTCTTTTGTGTTTGAATTTATGCAAAAGCAAATCATCAAGAGGGACTTGAATACATATTTGACTGTTTTTAAGGGTCTTGATATCAGAGGTGGTCTTCGGCAAGCACCATTTGGACTTGAGAGAATGAGAAATGCTGGGTTCGTTCTGAATGCATATTCATATAATGGGTTGATCCATTTGCTACTTCAATCTGGGTTTTCGAGGGAGGCTCTGGAGTTGTATAGAATAATGGTCTCTGAAGGTCTAAAGCCTAGTCTTAAGACTTATTCAGCTCTCATGGTAGCGTCTGGGAAGAGAAGGGATATTGGAACAGTTATGGATTTGCTAGAAGAAATGGAGACTCTGGGATTGAAGCCAAACATTTACACTTTTACAATATGCATTAGAGTGCTTGGTAGGGCTGGGAAAATCAACGAGGCATTTGGGATCTTGAAGAGAATGGATGATCTGGGGTGTGGGCCTGATGTTGTTACTTATACTGTTCTAATTGATGCTCTTTGTAATGCTGGCAGACTTGATCAAGCCAAGGAAATATACTTAAAGATGAAAGCTAGCAGCCATAAACCTGACAGAATAACCTACATTACTTTGTTGGACAAGTTTAGTGGCTGTGGAGACTTAGACTTAGTTAAAGAATTTTGGAACGAAATGGAAGCTGATGGTTATGCTGCTGACGTGGTTACATTCACCATACTGATTGAAGCTTTCTGCAAAGTTGGAAATTTAGATGAAGCTTTTGATATGTTGGAGGTCATGAGAAATCAAGGGATCTTGCCTAATCTTCACACGTACAACACATTAATTTGTGGACTATTGAGGGTAAACAGGGTTGATGAGGCATTTGAACTTTTTACTAATTTGGAATCTTTAGGCATTAAACCTACTGCTTATACATACATCCTTTTCATTAACTATTATGGAAAGTCTGGTGACCATGGCAAAGCTCTTGAGACCTTTGAGAAGATGAAGGCTAGAGGAATTGTTCCTAATGTTATTGCTTGCAATGCATCTTTGTATAGTCTGGCTGAAGCAGGAAGGCTTGGTGAAGCAAAAGCTATTTTTAATGGGCTTAAAAGTAGCAGGCTTGCTCCTGATTCTGTGACCTATAACATGATGATGAAGTGCTTTAGTAAAGTTGGGCAAATAGATGAAGCCATTAAGTTACTGTCTGAGATGCTGGAAAATCAGTGTGATCCTGATGTGATTATCATTAATTCTTTGATTGACATGCTTTTCAAGGCTGGCCGTGTAGATGAGGCATGGGAAATGTTTTACAGAATGAAGGACATGAAGCTTTCTCCTTCTGTTGTGACCTACAACACATTAATAGCTGGGTTAGGGAAAGAGGGTCAAGTCCAAAAGGCAATTGAATTGTTTGGGAGTATGACCAGGCATGGGTGTTCTCCTAACACAATAACTTTCAACACCCTCTTGGATTGCCTTTGCAAGAATGATGAGGTTGATTTGGCTTTGAAAATGCTATATAAAATGATGACAAGGAATTGTAGTCCTGATGTTCGGACTTACAACACTATCATTTATGGCCTTATTAAAGAAAACAGAGTTAAGGATGCAATTTGGGTCTTCCATCAGATGAAAAAGGTGCTTTACCCTGACTATGTGACTTTGTGCACCCTTCTTCCTGGTGTTGTAAAGGATGGGCAGATTATGGATGCGTTCAAGATTGCTCAGGACTTCGTTTATCAGGATGGGATTGATACGGACAGATCATTTTGGGAAGATTTAATGGGTGGGATTTTGATGGAAGCTGGAATGGATAAAGCAGTTCTATTTGCTGAGACATTGGCAAGCAATAAGATCTGTAAGGATGACTCTATTTTGGTACCTCTGATTAGAAGTTTGTGTAGGCATAAGAAAGCTGTTCTTGCAAGAGATTTATTTGCTAAGTTCACCAAAAATATGGGGGTTATCCCAACACCAGGAGCATATAATTTGTTAATTGATGGGCTACTTGAAGTCCATATCACTGAAATGGCTTGGGACCTTTTTGAGGAGATGAAGAGCATTGGTTGTTCTCCGGATGTTTCTACCTATAACTTGTTGTTTGATGCTTGCGGGAAGTCTGGGAGTATTGATAAACTCTTTGAAGTGTATGAAGAGATGATTTGTCGTGGATGCAAGCCTAATACTATAACTCAGAATATAGTCCTGTGTGGTCTTGTGAAATCGAACAACATAGACAAGGCTATGAATATGTATTATGATCTCATAAGTGGTGATTTCTCCCCAACTCCTTGTACATATGGGCCTCTTATAGATGGACTTCTGAAATTGGGTAGACTTGAGGAAGCAACGCAATTGTTTGAGGAGATGGTAGACTACGGATGCAAAGCTAACTGTGCTATTTATAATATTCTTATAAATGGATATGGAAAAACAGGTGATGTGGATGCCGCTTGTGAGTTATTTAAAAGAATGGTTAAGGAGGGGATAAGACCAGACTTGAAGTCATACACCATTCTCGTAGATTGCCTCTGCTTGGTGGAAAGAGTAGATGATGCTATGCACTATTTTGAGGAACTGAAGTTAACTGGCCTTGATCCTGACTTGGTATCTTATAACCTTATGATTAATGGGCTTGGAAGGTCAGGTAGGGTAGAGGAAGCTCTCTCCCTTTTTGACGAAATGCGGAGTAGGGGTATAAGTCCTGATCTTTACACTTACAATTCCCTAATACTCAATCTGGGGACTGTTGGAATGGTGGAGCAAGCAGGGAAGTTTTACGAAGAACTACAATTAATGGGTCTTGAGCCCAATGTATACACCTATAATGCTCTAATTCGAGGGTACAGTGTATCTGGAAACCCTGACCATGCCTATGCAGTCTACAAACAGATGATGGTTGGGGGCTGCAGCCCAAACAGGGGAACATTTGCACAGCTTCCTAATCAATCTTGAAAGTTGAAATGTCTAGATGCTTATATGCTAATGTTATACATGGCTGCTGATCTCTGCATACAAGGTGTAGTGGGTAATTCCCTTTTTCTACTCCTCATACAGATTCCAGAAATTATTGCAAATTTGACAATTTGATGTCAGAGTCACTAATTAAGTTCCTTCAATCTATGTCAGGCTTGGTTAGTCTTGCTGATGATTGCCTAATGACAACCCCACTATTAGCTTCAATTTTGTAATAAATTGATGATGATTTTGCTCATCCTGGCTATGGATGTGCCAGCATTTTAGCAGTTAAGATTGTGGAATTTATGTTAGCTGGGGCAGCTTCAGCTGTGCTTGATGCTTCCATTCAAGTTGCAAGTCAGGTGCATTTGAAGGTTATATGCTATTGTCCATGAGACTCTGAATATTCCATGTACATCGTGTATGTAAGATTTTGTAATGTAATACAATGATTTCATCAGGTGTAGATGCCTTTGGCCTACATTGTCCTTCGATGTAAAAAGAGAAGAAAAGTCTAGATCATACTGTTATTTGTCAAATATGTATATGAAAAATATTATTATCAATAAATTCTCTTGGGCTTTTTGATGCATCTATCTTGCGAAGTTCACTTTCATGTATTAAAATCTAGTGAAGGGGTTTCTAAGTCTGCGACTTCCAGCTACCCTCCTTTGTATCTAGAGAGCTATAGAAGATATGGGGTTTCAGAGTCATTCAGTTCAAACGCAACTTCCTCTATGATTGCTGCAAGCTGCAGGCATTGGACGACTCACCAGATGCCTTGTTTCTTGGTATCGTTCTTTCTGTCCCTCGACAAAGTAAAACCCATTATTTGCTAACTTACCAGGGACAATGGAATGTTATTCTAGTAAGAAAAGATTTAAGGTGTTGGCTTTATCTGTTAAGGTCCCTAATTTAAGAAAATTTTTTTCCATTGAATGCAAACACTTGTGTTTTCATCCTGGTACGGAGTTTTTGTTAAAGTGAAACACATGCCGAATTTCTCTGAATCCCTCGGAGAAAATGGAAACATTCTTGCCCGGGACGCGGGAGCAGGAGATTGGATGACTGGAACATGGCATTACAAAAGTCAAAAGTCATAGTCCAATATAAAGGGGTGTAACAATTTGGTAATTATTGCAGGTTTCAAGGCCAAGAGCAAGGAGGATATATTGGTAAATTTAAAGGGGAAGCTGTAGCTGTTGCCTATCCAACAACAACACAACACACCACCATTTTAAGCCATGTGAAGGTTCTGTCTTTGGCAACAACTGCAACCCCATCAATACAAACAGTAGCCATTTATCTCCTCCCTTTTCTGCTTCGATACCCAAAAATCCTCCAAAAACAAAAATCTTTCTCTGTCTAAAATGGCCCAGCTTTGGGCCAAAATTTATGTACAGCACAAGAGAACAACAAAAACCAACACAAAATCCACCCTCACCCTTCTCACAAATAAAAATAAAAAGGGGAATAAAAAGGAAACATGGAAAGCAAAGCTAAGACAGATAGAGAGATGGAAAGATGGATAGGTGGATAGATATGTCTTCAATTGTCCTCCAACCACAGAGCTCCCTCTCTAAAACAAAAAAAAAAAAACTTAATTTCCCACATTTACCCTTTTCTTCTCTGTATCCCATCTTTCATCACTCGGTTCAACTCAAACTCTTTCCCCGTTCTTCATGGGCCTTTTCGGGTTCTCACATTCTCCAACCAGTTTCAGGGAAAGAGAATACCAGATACACCACAACTTTCTCTTTCCTCCTCTCCTTATAATTATTACCTTTTTCTGTTTTTCTTCCTTTCTCGGCCCCTTTTTTCTTTCTCTAGATTCCCAATTCGTATCTCCCATATCTGGCTCAATTCTGGATTATTTTGGGTCTTTGCTTTGTCTCCAAGTTTTGGTTTTGGTGCTGTCAAGAAGCCAATAAAAACAAGGGCTATTTTGGGTTCTCGGATTTTTTTTTTAATCTTTTCTTCTCCTAATTGGAATTGGAGATTGTTTTCTGGATTATGTATTTTGGGGAAGAAGATGATTTTTTTGCAAAGGTAGAGCCTCCTCTTAGTTTTATGCAAAATTTCTGATAAGTTTTTATTATTGGTGTCTCTCAATTTTGATAGTTAAGATGAAAAGGGCTTCTCTCAATTCTCGTCAGCAATACAACTCAGTTGCTGAGGAAGATAAGGCTAGATTGAAGCATCAAAACCTGCTGCAGGAGTTCTTGGAATTGCAAAAGGTTTGCCCTTTGCCTCAATTACTCTATTTGGTTACGCTATGCGAATTGTGATTGACCGGGCTGCATTCTTTTGATCATCATACAGTTCCATTATTATCAGAATCCTGGTCCCTAGTTTCTTGTGGTGATGTAGATTGTAGAGTATTGATATTGAGATTGCTTTTGGCCAAAGTTTAGTTTCTTGGTCCAACTAAAGTAAGATAGAATTTCACTAGTTGTTTTTATGTTTCAGTTCCTAGTAGATAATTTATTAAGCCAGTTGTTGTGTTAGATCAGTTGATAGAAACTTAATTCTCACTGAATTTACAGAATGGGGATTTATATGTTTACATGTCCAGTTATAATGGTTCTGACTGTTATGTGTATTGGGGTTAGCAATTAATTCTTTCATGTCAATCACTGCTAGGAATTTGTTTCGAAGAAGAAGAAGTTGCAGACGGTGAACCAGAAGCGAGAAACCCTTTTGGCTGAAGTTCGGTATGATATCTATTTCCCAACTTTGCTTGGATTCTTGCATGTTTGATCAAGAAGAACGCTCATTAACCTGATCATTTTCTTTTCTGCTGAATTCTAGATTCTTAAGACAGAGGTACAGCTATTTATCAATGATCAAGTCTCAAGAAAATGAACTACCGCAAGATTCTGTTCAATCACAAAATCCATACGTGCAAAGCGAAATGATTGCTAAGGATTATGGCATCAAAGAAGCTGTTGAGAAGAAACCATGTTCTCTTCCAAACTTGGACCCGAACATGGTAATCAATTTGAAATATAAAGATTTAGAAATTGAAGACATGCTTTTTGTGCTGTTATCTGTGGACATATTGGTATTCATTGACTAGTTTCACTTACAGGTTCATGAAGAAGGGGATGGGAGAAGTCAAGTAGATGTTCAAGCATCATTGAGAAAGGAGAAGCGTGAAAACTGTTTGATTAATGGCAAAAGAGTTGGGAAGAAGAAAATTTCATGGCAAGATCAGGTGGCTTTGAAGGTCTAAAGCATAATAAGTAATCTCTTCGTACACAGTTTAGCAGTTAACTGAGGTGGGGGGATGGGACTTAACTGTCTCCATGAAGAACGTTTCATTGACATTGCTGCAGATTAGTATTATCTTTGTCTTACACTTCTTTATTCAGTATAAACTGTAAATCGGGGCAAATTTGCCCATTTTAGCATATATGAATATAGTGAATCATTGCTCACTCGTCTGATGAATAGTAGTCTTCCTCTCTCTAATTTTGACAGTCTTTCTACTTGGTGCATTATTTGACTGGCAAAAACCTGGAATAAGTTTATAGTTGATGGTGACCTGAGAGAAAAATGTTTTGAAGTGCAACTGAGTTGTCTGGAATGGTGACTGAGTAGTGGCTGATATTCACCCAACCTAGTTAGTCAAGCTATATGGGTAACTTTTTGTCAAAGTGTCACTGTTGCTTTTCATCCTTTTCTATTAAATTTACAGACTATGTGCACGTTTTATTTGTTTGCATTGGAGATTCTTGTCCTCCAAACACTGAATGCCAGGTGGTTCTTTTAGTACAAATACATCAGATGATGCCAAAGAGTTGAGACTTAAAAGTCTTTAATCTTGAATTTATTCTGTAATCATGAAGTTCATTTAAGACAGTGATGAAACATATTGGGAATGCCAACTCAAACTTACTTTTTTATTCACTTACAATACTATATCATTGGAGGTCAAAGTGCCCCACAGATCCTCGTATTATAATGTTTTAATCAATTTGGGATAGAGATTGAGTCACTCTATCCCAACTTTTGGTCAATTTAGGACATTTTCCACAGACACTCAAACATATATGATTTAGAAGAAAGTTTTGTCACCACTTTGATCGTTGAGGAGTGGATCAAGAATAGGTATGTTTGTTGCTTTGCTCAACAATGGCAGATACCATTCTTCAATATACTTTCATCGGAGAAAAAGAGACTATGGTCAGGATGTAATATGGCAGACACTTGTATTGTAAGTTGTAACACAACCTACAATCTAATTAATCTAAGACACATAAATATCAAATAAACACATGAATGTCTTAAGAACAAACAATTTTACCTAAAATAGATAATTTCTTTTTTTTTGTTTTTTTGAAAGTTAAAATAGATAATTTCTATGCAGAAACATATCTATGTATTTTCCTTAAAAGCATCAACACACCAATGATCATACCCATCTATAATATATTTGATATAATAACCTAATATTCTTCTCATCATTTTTCATTATTATATGAACATAAAAGTATATATTATTTTCTTCTAGAGAAAAATAAATTTAATATCATGCTAAAATGCTTAAAAAATGCACAAACCCAAAGGAAAAGAGCCCAAGAGACCTCATACCTTGTTTGGGCTCAGATTGACCCAACGGATTTGGGCACACGGGCTGTATCTTGGCCCGTTTCAGCTAACGCTATTTGAGCGCTGCAGTGCTTGGCTTATTTTTTAGCTTATTTCGTCGACGCCATCGACGTTGCCGAGGTCTATTCCTCGTCTCCTCCACGTTGTCCGCCGTTCATCTGAATCATCTACTCGTCCAACAGATCCTTCCAAGACTAATACTCAACGCCGTCGCTCTTCTTATTCCGAATCAGACGATTTTGCTAAGACTAATGCATATCTTCAATTCAGTGATATCTGTGAAGAAAAAAGCATAAATTTCAATGACCGGGATAGCAACCGAGCCACTGGAGGAATCGTCCGAGGATAATGGATCTGAATCGTTTTGAATGTTTATATGCTTAGGACCTACTGTTTCTTTGATACTTTAGCTGTTAATATTTCGTTATGAATTTCACAAAATTAAATTCTCGCAGATGCTGTGTCTGAGGTTCAACAGATCTAATATAAACACCTGTTAATCGGATCCAAAAACATTACATAACTGATTTCTACTGTACATGTTATTACTAAAATTTTAGCATTAAATGGAAGAAAGAAGAAGAGAAGCACAAGGCATATATATTTTTTCTTAGTATGTCATCAATTCATTCCTTCTCTAAGCCCTCTACGAATGCATAGAGAATCAAGATAACAAAGGGTCCTTAAAAGTCTTCTTCAACAGTTGCAGCTACTTTCCTTGACTTGCCTCTGGTTCGGATTCAGTGTCAACTGAATTTGAATGCGAGGATTGCTCGTCTGCAGACGAGGCAGACTTGATTGGTTTCTTGAACTGCACTAGGATCATGGTCATATTGTCGCAGCCCTCACCGGTGGCTGTTGATGGTGCTAAACACCTATCGAGTACCCTCTCACAAACAACAGAAAGCTTGCTTTCCTGCATTGCATGCAAGAGTTCATACAAGTATACAAACATAAAAAAAAAGGATAAAGCAAAGAAGGACCCTGAACTCAATTGACCTATCAAAAGGTAGAGAGGCTTATGTACATACTGATTTTAGTTGTTCATGAATAAAATCCACTAGCGTCTGACTTGACATGCAATCCCTGAAGCATAATAAATTCAAAATCGAGAAGGCGTTAGATACCAAATTCAACATCGAAATCTAGTCAGAGTGAACCACGAAGAGTGTAACTAATCAACTAGGTAAAGTTTTGAAGTGAAGTATATAAAGTTCTAATTCTAATGTAATCTAAAAGGAAAAGGCAATAGATAAATACCATATTCCATCACATGCCAGAACAATAAAATCATCATCATCACAGAGCTCGACCTAATTGAAAATTAGTAAGGTGTAGAAGTTTAGATGCTGCAAGCTCCAAAGATTTTTAGGCTTGCTAAGCAGATATTAAAGCAAAAGTGGAAATTTAATAGTATAGTGATGTGGTCACATTGCTGACAGAGAAAATACTTACAGTGTTTATATCTGGATTTGCAGTGACAATTTGCTTTTCGGGAGGCAAAAACTTATTCTGCTTGAATTCCATGTCACCTGCAGGACAAGGAATCAATGGATTATAACTACAGGTCTCCACCTGTCTCTCTCTCCATTTCTCCCCCATCGATCCATAGACATGTTAGATGTAGATGGATGAATAATTTTAGATAGGAAGTTATAGATGTATAGAAATGTTATTCAATAGATTAAGGAAATGTTATAGCACTTTGTGCCCAATAGCATATGTCTCTCTCTTTAGGAAATTCTAAGTTCAATTACTAGTTCTTTTTGTTTCCAAATATCAAGCAGGAAGGTAAATTACCAATAGCTCTGGCGAGATTCAAACTGCCATTGACACGTCCTGCATGTATAAAACCACCCGCTTTTAAAATCCTTTCTTTCTCTGCCTCAAGATCAGGTTTGTGATCTCTAGACAGATTGTATGCCTACAAAAACAAAGTTACATAAGAACAAATAAAAGAGATCATTTATTCGGAAAGAAAAGAATATTTATACAATGACACATGTTGAATGTCCGTAGTTCAAAGTACAATAGCCAGTTCATCCACCAATAATTAAAATGGATTACCAAATCTCCATTTTAGTGTATAATCGAAAGAAAACTAGCTAATTACATCCCAATAATAGAATATTACCTGACCGTTCCTAGATATCACACAACGAGAATCGCCAGCATTAGCAACAAGAAGTTGGTTGTTTCTTAAAATTGCAACACAGGCTGTGCACCCAGAAGTTGGTCCAGAAAAGTCAGAATGAGGGCCCTGATTGCAATTTCAAAAAGCCATATAAATTATACATACAAATTGTCGCAACGAAAAAAAAAAGTGTCTCAATTGTACAAACAAATCAATTAATGCAGGAAAATTGTGGATGGATAATATAATTATGCATTCACAGACAAAACCCAGCTTGCACATTTATGATCCCTGCCCCAACCCAAAAAGGCAAGTGCAGAGTAAGACGTTAAAGTTCGAGATAGAAATATATTCTCCACCATCTGCGCTATATAATTTGCATAGAAACACCACATCAACTAAGAGTTAACATGTAGCAAAGCAAGTTCCATTATTCTTCTTGTTCTTGGTTTCCAGCACAGTTTGCGGCAAACATCAAATTTCTGTCTATCATAAGTACCTCCTCAAAGGCCCAATCATCAGCTTGGTCATTCCCATCACCACTCCTCGGAGACCATATTAATCCTTCTATCATGCCAGTAAACTTGTTTATTTTATCACCCAAGATGGCTAATTCTCTCCATCCTCTTTGTCCACGCATCATCTCATCCATTCTGCACAAAAACATAACTCAAGTTGGAAACACATGTAATGAACAATGGGAAAAAGCAGTTAGCCACTAAAAGAGGGGAAGGGAAGATGGGTAAGGGAAGCACTATCATTTGTAATAAATTTGTCCTTTTTATCTCTAGTCAAAGATTTGGAAAAGCATTTTGATCTTGCTGAAGGTAGCATTACAAAGCCTTCAACTCTAACTAGCTAAAAATTATTGAAGAAGAGTAAATTTATGAGATCTATAAACTTGACGAGGTACGAGAGTTTAAGTCCAATGTCTGACAAAAAAAGATATTATTAAGATTGCATCAGAAAACCAACAGCAGTCTGAAATCAGTGACACCAGTTGTGTCAATTTACAGCTATTCAAGCGACTAAAATTACAATAATGGCATAGAGATGCTATTTCAACATGTATGCTAAGAGAATTTAACTTTGTGAAATTCATAACTAGATATTACCAGCTCTACAGAGGGAATAAAAGGAAAATTCACTCTCAAACTTCAAGTATCAAAGAACTGATCATTATTGCATTGTTGACTCCCACACTAATGAAAAGATCGTGAAGAAGGAAAAAAAAATTCAAGTAATAAAATTAAATAACCTGAAAAATGCTCTCTGAACTGATGTCCCCATGTCCCCAGCTGAATATGCTTCATGCTTGAGAACCTGCCGGTGAAGATATTTGGCACAGAATTTTGCAACCACCTTGCCTGCAAGTTATGGATTTGTATTAGTTGCAGAAACCTACACAGTAGCCATTACTATGACACTTAATCGTATTTCTTAACAGCTTGATGCTATTCCTAGAGTGACTTATGAAAGTAGCCACTTAGTATCAAAAGAAAGCACATTGCAAACAGTAAAAATTAGAACCCTTTAAAGAGAAAAATTAAAGATTCCTAAGCGTTCACTGACACCAAAGTGAATTCCCTAAACATCTCAACAGAATCATTTATAAAGAAAACGCTTCAAGATTCTTCATTTGGTTCAAGTTCTAAAAGGGCAAAAATGTATGTAAATGAATGGGAAGCAAGACAACCTCAACTTCGAATAGCATACACAAATGAAAACCTGTAGAAGGAACTGAAATCAATCATCACAAATACCTGAACCATCCAAGTCTTACCTCCATGACCATCATAAACACCAAAGAATGACGTAGAAGCGTCCAGATCGGGATATGCAGCATGCTAACAAAACAAATAATAACTGTAACTAGATAGCCATAATATAAAAAGAATTAAGAATTTGAAAGAAATATAAGATAATGTATATAACATATGGTAGACAAATGGCAAAACAATTCATATTACCAAAGTGAAAAGAATAAAAAACTTTGAGAGGGAAAGGGAAGAAAGACATGTAAAGAAGATGGAGTCAGAGTCCACTCTGTTTGCATTTTTAAGTAGAGAGTATCACAAGTAGGAAGAGTCGGATGTCAATGACCAAAGAAGTTGATGGTACAATAATATATAAGCTGTTAATGACAAATGAATTTCAACAGAGATTCTAGTTCATATTTGACACGTGTTTTTGCAGTGGGAACGGGTAATGAAAATGTGCAAAGGAAAGGGTATTGTAAAAGACTAAATAAATTTACCCAAATCTTCCTAGCAACTCATTGCTAGAATCATATATATATTTATAGTTCAATCTATGAGAATTCAATGTATGTATAGTTCCCTTGTTACTCACAGCATCTTCCATAGTTGCACGCCATCCTTGCATGGATGATAGACCGTATCTAACCCTGTCATTTTCGCCATCTTCTGAGGATTTCTCGGTTTTTGGGGTGCTGAGATATATACCCATCTATGTCTGCAATTGAATGAATCACGTCATGTCAGCTTATAGAACTCAAGAGTATTTAAAACAACACGTTGTTTTATTGATCTCTCCAAGTTCTGCAGCTCTAAAAATTCAGAACCAATAGCTATGTTGATGAAATATATATGAAAAACTGATCTGTTAATTCAGACATTGCCAAGTACGTGTAACAGCAACCAGACAAGCTCGTTTCTAGTCAGAGAAATAAAAGAAACTCCTATGCTAATTCAAAACTGAATCTTGAACAAGACCCAGATCCTAAATTGAATGCTAAGACTAAAAAAAGCATAAAATTCACACGTTAAAAAACTAGGCAATAAACTAAAGATCACTGCTTTGCTAAGATCAAATCAAGGTAAAACAACTCAAATACTGTCAATAACAAGAGGAACCCAGATGCTAACTTGATAGATAGAGATCAAAGAGCACAAGATCTAAAAGAGAAAAAGGTTAGAGAAATGGATACTTTATAGAGTTTTAAGCGTCCTTACATGCCCAGCTGGAAAACTATAAAGGAACAAGACACTGGGGGCGAGGTGGTACAATCGGAAAAATATGTTACAAGTATCAGAAATGGAGTCTTTTCCAAAAACTAACAAGAACCCAGGAGAATTTTCTCGGAATCTGAACGGGAAAACCAGGAACTTTGGGGTGACAGAAGCAGAAACATTGAAGAAAAGCCCAGACAAACAGAGAGAGAGAAAAAGTAAACAAGTGAAGAGAGAGAGAAAGGGGGAGAATTTTTAATAAAAATCAATTCTTTTGAGATCAAGGGCGTTGCTTTGCTTGCTGGCTGGCGACTGTTTGGACTCTTGAGGGCATTTTCAACTTTTCCATGGCTCCCTGCCTTCCCTTTGACAGTTCGGTTGGCTTTGCTTGCCATCCTCGATTTTACTGCGGAAAGGATAGACCTCAAGTCTTCCAAACTTCAAACTTCAAAGTATGCGTTCCATGTTGCTGTCCTAAGAAAGTAACATGTTCCTGTTCAACATTTGAACATGACAAAGATATTTTCTTCAGTGAAAGGGTAATCAATCTAATCACTTTCTTAACCATGGATTTACCCAATCTCTAATCTTACTAGTAATTAATTGTTTGCTAATCCAATCACGATTTCTTATGTTCTGATTGTGAGTGAAGAGAAGGTAGAACAAAATCATACCTACCAAAAGAACAATACATTTCTTGGACATGCAAAATATGGATTTTTCATTATTTATTCCAATTAAATATAAATGTTTATATATATATGCATATATATATTTGTAATCATATTATATATTTTCAGTGTCGGTAAAATTATGACAAAAAAGGAATATATATGTAAATTTTAGCTTCATCTACTGGTTTGTAGGGCAAAAAGTTTACCCATTCCACCTAAGGAAATGTTAGCCTTTGGGGAAAAAAAGGAAAAAACAATGTCATTGTCACCTGAGGGTTGAAAATTCTTGTACCCAAGCTGGATATTTTTGGAGAGGAGCCCCACAGATTTTGTCAAACTAGTTGATAATCATGGAACTCAAGAACCAATTAAATTGAATAGATTCTAAATATATTATTTAAAGACAAAAGTCGGGTTTTGGTGCTAATTTATGGAAAAAAACGTCAAACGAGATATTAATTATAAAGAAAAAAATTTTTATTCATTTTATTATTTTTTTGGTTGATGTTAGATATTTTATAAGCTTGCACAAGAAGGGAGTTTTGTTCTTTTGTTACCCTAAAAGAAGAATAAAAAAATAAAGCACTGAATCTTAATTAGGCCTTAAAAACTTGCTATTATGGGAAAGATAGGGGGATCTACTTTAGCAAAGTTTGTGTTTTTTACAACCATAGCTTTTGCTGTTATTCCTGAATAATTAGAACAGACAAGGATATGATAAAATACTTGATCATGTCAGAAAGGAAATCATCAGATTATTGACTAAAAAATGGGAATCAGCAGATTGAACCAAAATCCTGTGCATTGAACCTAGAATCTGCTGGAACAGAGATTAAAGTAAAGATCCATCAACAACAAATAATAATAATAAGAAGAAGAAGAAGAAGGTGGCCAAAGGGGTATATCAAATCTTGCAAAGTCTTTTTGTTGAAGATAGATTAAAAGAATGATATCATATCTCAAGGAAAGCTGATTGCTTAAGCAATATCGACCTGTCCCCAATCAAAATCAGATGTCCATTAGATTAGATACATGTGACACCTAATCTTGGTGTAACCCATCATCAATTTTTCTTTATATAGTTTTTGTAACATAACATGTCCTGCACTATGGAAATAGCAGATTGGCATGGGTTTAATCAGTTGAATTGCATGGTTGAGAACCCTAGCACTGTGGAAAGATCAACCATGCACCCATTGCGGTCTAACTAGTAGGCAACCCCAAAGTTTGTTTTCCAATTCGATCAAAGAACTGCCGACCTTCTTGCATGTTTGAGTATATCTCAATAGCCCGCTTGGGTTTCCACTTGTACAGTAACAATTGATTCTTGTTAACATTATTCCAATTTGTTGAAACCAGAGGGATATGAAATTGCCAAGACGTTATGAAAGCCTACATTATGTGTTGAAATTTTAAACGTGAACCTTACATATTTAATCAAGTAAATTTTTTTTTTAAAAAAATTAATAATAAATCGTGACAAAGTAAATCTTTTTTATTAAAAAAAATAATGAACTGTAACAAAATGATATGGTAACTCTCATATTACATCAAAGACTTCAAATAGATGAACTAGGCAAATTGACCTGACGTACACCGAGGATTTTAAGGAATTTAAGTGAGAAATATGTTACAACACTGGATATTAGGTTAACATTTCAGAGAGAGGTACGACCCATAATAAAGGGATACAGTGGGCACATGACAATAGATATAGAAGGACAAAATAAATGCATTACCCATAAAGAGAATTGGGGCCTCCTGCAGGCCATGGATCAAAAACTTGGTCCACGGATTCTAATGCAATGTAACAACTATTCATCCCTAGCATCCTGGGGGACAATAACCAGAGCTGGAGGGAAATTATAAAGCATTATGTTTGTCACTTGATAAACAAAACTAAGAATGGGGAAAATCTCAAAAAAAAGATGTACAACTTAAATAAATCTTCTTTGTTCTCCCGTCCATCGTCTTCAAAACTCGAAACACAAAATTTTCCCAAACATATGAGATGTCAAACAGGTTTCTGTTTAGTCTCCTGCATGGCACTCAAAAATGATAACTAAGAAGCAGTCTGGAACTAAGTAAGCAAACTTTCACAAGCCTGCACGTCAGTGTGTTGCTTTGCCAACAATTCTTGCCCAGAAGGGAATGAATTAATGCTCCCAATGGCAGCACCAAAGATGGATGCTCGGAACCGCTCATCTTCCACCTTCATCAGAATTTCTTTGATGACTGTAAAGTCCAAACCTCCAGCCACAACCAGCTTCCCAAGGACCTCACCAAAATTATTTGGTGCTTTTGGTATATCAATACCGATATCATCCAACAAAGAGCCATATAGGATAGAACCAGCTTCTATGTCCCTAGCAGTGAGACATTCTTATTAAGTAAGAACTCAAGAAGCTTTATGGCTGCATCCACAGAAGGTGGACTGTTTTCCAAAGCAAGAGCAATAGCTTCCTTCACGACCTCAGGATGGAAAGTAGTGGCTTTCAGCTCCTCAATACATTGTAATGCTTCATCAAGTAATCGGATACTAAAATATTCTTCAAGCAGAGACTTTGTTTTTCTCTGAAGATCAGTAGGATTTGATTTTGTTGCACTGCCCACAGGCTTCTCAGGAGAACTGACTGCAGCAGGATTTGATTTTGTTGCATTACCCACAGTCTTCTCAGGAGAACTGACTGCAGCTGCTACAGATATCTCAGGCTTAGGATTCACAGGTTCAAAACTTGGAGGTCTAGCTGGGGGCCCACCGCTACTCTGCAACAATGGACTTGATTTCCCCCCTATTATGCCACTGCTACCTGGAGGAAGAAACTTTGAATTAATGGAAGGTAATTTGCTGATGAAAGGTTGCTGCACACGCCCAGCAGGCTGAGGACCCAGTCCATCACCCCTTGGCATTGACCGAGATCGAGGAATCTCCCAGTTATCAGCATCAAGCCCAGTCATTCCAGGCATCTTCCTGATACCAGGCATTCCAGGCATCATACCCCCAGAGCCAGGTCGGGTAACTGGGAAACCACCAGGGGCCATACCCCCTAGAGCCCCACCATTACGACCATTTCTCATGATTGCAGTTGCACCTGGTCGCAGCCCCAGATTCCTCTCTGCTTCGGAATGAATTTCAGTGATCCTCATTGCTTTAATCTGCCAAAACAGGATCAGAAGAGAATGTCAAATATTCCAACAACCATCTCAGCATTTAAAAAAAAAAAGAAAGAATTAGGCAAATTCAAGGGTTGGTATTATGCTTTGTACTTCAGGGAACAGGTGACTACTAAAAAATAGGTTTGGTTTGCACTTATGGGGCATGGAAATATGTGTCTGATGCAATAGAACAATGCGAGGAGAAGGATTGAATAAAATTATGCTTGTTGATTAAAATGTTTAAAGTTTAACATATACAGAAAGACAACCTCTTCCCGTCTAGGCACCCAGTTGTTGGCCCGCAAATCAAGAACATCACGAACCATGAACCTTAATCGTGGAGCAAGCTGCGAATTTGTTGTCAGCTCCTTCAGCCTGCTAAAATAGATATCATTTACTCGCCGAGATTTTGGGCTCTCATCCAACTGCTTCCCAATAGTGTTGAAAAACTGACATATAGCCTCTACATTCTCCTCAGCAGGGCATGTCTTGCCATCGTGTCCCAAAAGCTCCTGCTCCACATAGAAACATGGTAAACAGACAAGCATGACACAAAATAGTAAATCCATGCCAAAACTAATGGGATGAAGAAGACCTGAACGATATGGTGGACAATCTTTTCAGGCACCATTTTTTGCTTCAACAGCTCACCAATTAGGCGTATGTTTCCCAGAGTTCGCAGTTTAACCATTCTTTCTTTTTCCACACGTTCCACTTCTAGTTCAAGGCCAGTCATCTGCCTAATTTCTTCTCTCAAATTGTCTGCACCTTCAAATGCCTCCTGGCAATTGTTCAAAAGGATTCGCTTAAAAGTAATTTCCTTCCCTCCAGGCTCATCAGAAGGAAAAGGAGGAAGCTTCTCATTGAGGTCAGAACATAAAAGAGCATACATAGGGCAAAATGTTGGCTCCAACACAGCCTTATCAAACAGCAGAGAGATAACACCCTGAAATGCAAATATGGTAAATTCAATTGATAGACACAAATGATTAGATTAATGCCAGAGATGAAGGTGTCAAGACACGGCAAATTGAGACCTTTAAAATGTCCGGAGTTGTAATGCCAGAGTCAATCAACTGACCCTTAAGAACATCAAACTTCTCTGGGGTCAATTTGTTCAATATACTGCACAATGAGAACATCATTTGTGATGATGTATTTATTAGGCAAACAAACAGTATCTGTATAGAAACACTCACAACAAACAACCCTTGGGATAGAGCATTAAACTAGATAATCCAGATAATGCATCCTTGTAAATAACTTAAGAGATAAAGAAAATGCAATATAAATTACAAGAGCCCATGAAAAATTAAATGTGATTCATATGATCAATTACCCTTTTGCTGTCTTCAAAACACGCTCCTTCTCGGAGAGATTACCCCTTCGAGCTGACCACGGGACTTCAGCCTTTACAAGCACAGGAGTAGGTCCTACCTGATTCACAGGAAATTCAAATGAAACAGGCAGAAGCAAGATATGCAAATGTATACATCAACCTCAAATGCAACTTATACTTTGATAACTTTAACAGATAGTGATAGCAGAAAAATAAATATCAACAAATCATCCCTTTAAGTTATATGAGAAGATGGTGGGGGAGTGGTCTAAATGGTAAGATATTGTTACCACTTGGCTAGATGAAATTTGAGCCCTCGCAAACTGGGAGTTTAGATGCTCCTGGCGATTATTCATTTCCTGTGGCCTTGAATCAAAATGACTGGAAAACTCTTTATTGTCTTGAATTGTATCCCAGGATCTTCCATCTCCAAAGGCAGCAGATCGACCGTGCCAGTCACGGTTGTCTGGCTTAGAATAACGACTTTGGGGTTGAGGTTGGAGCTAAAGAAAATGAAAACAGAAACTGTAATTGCTAAGCTGCTATGACCATAAAGAGAAAGGAGATAAAACCAAGAAATGAATCACCACAATGACATGCTCTGTTCACCATTTTCTTTAGGGTATAACTTGGGGATGAATAAGTACTTAACTATGTCCACAGCACATAAAACAAAATGTAAACACGAGAGTCTCAGAAATATTTCCAAGCATAATCATTATTACAGTTGGACTGCAATATTCCAATAATTATACTAGGAGTAGACAATTGATTTGAGCAATAGCTCCTTCAACCCAAAAAGAAGCAACATGTAAATAATTTTAATAAAGGCAACATCCTTTAAACTCACATTGCCATCAGCACGACCCCAGGTTTGATCTTCGCCAGCAAACTCAGACTCAATTTCTTCTTTTATCTTCAAAAAATCCTCTGGGATATCAGCAACCTGATGGAAGAAGCAAACAAAAAAATCAGATAACAAATGGAAGGTTCAAATCTTGACATATTGACTAAAAAGGAATGTTAGCCAAATCTATTCGGAATATAAACTCCACTTTCTGTCACCTACAAAAATATAAATGCGAAATAAGCCAAAAATCTGACTGTTGCTTCACGATTTAAATTGACAAATATGATTCCCTAGATCATCATTTAAATAAGACAACGTACCTCCTTAAGTTGTAACAGCTGTTCACGCGTATACCGGACGCACTCTTGACCTTCAAACCGCAAATCCCCAGCCTATTACATACAGCGTTAGAAAACTTATATTATGAAAACACACAAAAAATTCAAATAATGGATCCAAAAGCAATAGACGGCTCCTCAAAAGAGAGAGAGAAAAAAAAAAGAAACAGCATTGCTAGAAACATTATATTGTGTACATTACAGAAAGCCAAAAAGAAAAAAATCAACTTCCTCTCATGGATATCAAGGCTGCACACGATCTTATGTCATAAAACTTTAAATAAAGGACCGAAACAGGCACATTCTTCTCTAAATTTACAATTCTTTAAAAGGCACATTTGTTTTATAAAGTTATAGAAGCCTGTAATGTAATGTAGATTCTTTATGAGCATCAACGTACTCCTTGCATGCCCACCTAATGCCTGCATATTCATATTTGTCCATATTTACAGCAGCTACACAAACTCAAGTGCTCCGCCAAGAATTAGGACAACTAAAATCCCATTAACATCAATCCCGCTATCTAACAATCATTTCAAATTTTAAACTTGCAGTATGACTAGCATTACCTCCTCAGTCCACGAAAAATAACAAAAAACAATAAATCCACTTAAAATTTGAAAAAAGTTCCAATTTTTAAAAACCCCAGTTCTGAAAAACAAATTCTTTACAAACTCAAAGACAAAAAAGTTCCAATTCATAAATGGAAACGAATGTAATAATCAAAGCTAGGGTTTTTGAATGGACCTTGAAGGCCGGACGCAGAATCTGGGAATCCAAGGAAGAAGAAGAAGAAAAGGAGGAGAGCTCAAGGCGAGTAGCAAAGAATCTGGTGCTGCGCGGACCGCCGCCGCCGCCGCCTCCACCCGGCCTCAAACTAATCACCGTCTGATCCGTCTGCATAATTCAGACTCTACAAAGGAGAATGGGGAACCGATAACTGTCCGATAGTAAGGAAACGGAAGAGAACAAGAAAACCGTCGGAAGAGAGTGACAGAAGAACGGTGAGGTCCTTGAGAGGGAATAGATAAATTGGGTTTTTATTTTTAAATTAGTACAGAATAGAGATTGAGCTATTCTTCCCTCTGCTGTTCATTTTTATTTTGGATTTTTTAATATATTTTTCCCTGAATTTTCCCTCTCCCTCAATCTGGATACTGAGCTCAACTCTTTGCAGCTGCAAAGAGAAGAAGAAGAAGAAGAGAGCAGCTTTGGATGAGGAAAACCCTTTCACACTTTGCCGCTACCCCCTAACCCGTTACTCCATGCTCTCTCATTTAGTATTTTACTACTACTTATTTTTATTTTATTCTATTTGTTTAATATTATTTTCTTTTCTATAAACTAATATTAGTATTATTAAGCCTTTTTATTTTTATTTTCCATATGGATTACTTGCAATTTTGAGATCTTTTCATTTTTTTTAATATTATAATTAGAAATGAACATTTAATCGACTCGATCAGATTGATTTTAGAAGAAAATCGAATTTATGAAATTCTCAAAAAATCAAAAGTGAAAAAAAATTGAAATTAATATATTTCAATTAATTTGATCGATCTTTCGTGTTAATAAAATTTATATATAATAAAACTTACATGTCTTTATCATTTAGTTTAATTGTATTATGTATGTTTCTAATATAAAATATATTTAAAAATATATTATTTATGATAAATAGTTGAATGAAAATACTCACCCTCTCCAATTGGGCCATTGATTCATTGTCCGTGGGTTTGGAAATGTAAATTTCAAGGCCCATAATTTAGCCCAAGAGTGCCTTGCCTCGGGTCGGGTGGATAATTGAAAATTTTGAACTCAAATTGTAATTTTGTTAATTATATTAATTATAAAGTAAATAAAATTAACAAATATCATAAATTTAGTAATACTTTAAAAATATTCCAACAAATAAAAATAAAATTGTATTAAAATATACTTACTTATATGTTTATAATCTTAAATAAATTAATTTAGTTAATCGAAAAGAATTTTCAAAACCAAAATTGAATTTATTCGATTAATTAAATTAATTCAATTTTAACTGAAAATTGTTCATTCGTAATTTCAAGTGCTAATTAGATCTCATTCTTGCCAATTAAGTATTTCCTTATAAATGAATATATTGCTTTTTACGAAAAAAAAAACCTGGACTGCTTAAAAACAAAACAGAACAAAGTAGAGAAATAAGCAGATAGTGAAAACAGGACATGTTGAGGAACGAACACGTGGACTTTTACCTTCCGCCACAAATTCGTTTGGACCGAAGTTGTGTCTGGCTCAGCAGTTTGAGTTGTCTACTCTTCTTTGCTCTCTTGAAATAACTACATATATTTTGTCATAGACAATTGTACGGGGAAGGAAAAGAAAAATTCATGGCGTCCATACCTTTCTCTGCAACTTTTCCTTCTTATCTTCATGACTTGTCTCAGACCAAAAAGATCCCAGTTTTGTCTTCTTCATGGCCTTTCTCGATCCCTTCCATCAAGTCATCGCTTGGGTCTTCGAAATCAGGCTTTTTGCAACATGGGTTCTCTTCACTGTCCTCTTCTGTTCCTGGGTTTGTCTTCAAATCTAGATCTTCAGGGATTTATGCAAGGGCAGCTACAGAGAAGACTCTGTACGACTATACTGTGAAGGTACAAAAGTTCCGACTTTATTGCTGAATTTTGCAAGACTTTTGGAAGTTCAGCAACTGAAGAATTGGAACTTGATAATGGTTTATCACTTTGCTAATGGATCTCTCTCTCTCTTTTTGAGCAGGATATTGATGGGAAGGATGTTTCTCTTAGCAAATTTAAAGGAAAAGTTCTGTTGATTGTCAATGTTGCTTCAAAATGGTACAGCCTCCCTTTCAAGATAATTACAGTATTTTCTACTATTGTTCAGCCGAGTCTTTTTTCTTTCCTTTACTTGGGGCCTGATTGAAGAATTTTTCATTTTGATTCATAGTGGTTTGACGACATCAAATTACACAGAGCTCTCCCACATATATGAGAAATACAAGACTCAAGGTGAGCCAAGTACTGTGTGTTTGGTATAGTTGTTTTTTGATACACTGTGTGTGACCTGTTTAACAAGATCTGTTCATGCAACTCTATTCACAGGATTTGAGATTCTAGCTTTCCCTTGCAATCAGTTCGGGGGACAAGAGCCTGGATCAAATCCTGAGATTAAACAATTTGCCTGTACCAGGTTCAAAGCAGAATTTCCAATATTTGATAAGGTGTGTCTACCTGCTTTCCCATTTGAGTAAAGCATTTATGATGGAGGTAATACTTTTTAAGGACTAAAGGAAAGGTTTATGAAACAGGTTGATGTGAATGGACCCAACACAGCTCCCGTTTACCAATTCCTGAAGTCAAGTGCAGGTGGATTTTTCGGTGACCTGGTCAAGTGGAATTTTGAGAAGTTCTTGGTGGACAAAAATGGCAAAGTTGTCGAGAGGTATCCACCAACAATATCGCCTTTCCAAATTGAGGTATGTATTTACCGCTCTTCTGGTTCTCTTACCAGTCCAGTTAATCTCATAGGAATTGAATTTTTCATGACATAATAGCAATGAGATATGTTAATGCTTGTGATTGAAGATCAGTGTTAAGGCATGTAATTCTTTAATAGAACAGCCAGTTTTTGCAGTTGACATGAATAACTCTTCCCTCCTGTCCTGTGGTGGATATGTTGAGAAAATGGGTTCTAGAGCAAAATTCTGCAACTAAATTCAATGCGTTTTATTTCTGCTCATTTGAATGCCAGTTCTATAAAAAACTTTCTAGTCTGATATGGTAGTCAGAACAATTATATCTTACCATCTTTGGCAGGTACCGTAGTTGGTGTTGCTGGTGAAATTTAAAAGCTGCTATAAGATAATGAAAACCAATTCCTTTGAATTTTATGAATTGGATGACGAATTCAGTAGTAGAATCATTGTTGAGTGATAGCACCCTATGAATGGAACTTGCTGCTTTTCTGCATTGATTTTATCTATTGCTTTGCCTCACATTGGAAGTAGTTTGTTCTGGACTTTGCCTATTTGCACCTCGATCCACTTTCATTGCCGATACACTTGCTCACACTCAGTGCAATTGATATGCGTACATTGTTGTTCAAGGGCACAAGTTCAAAACATATGACTGTGTTATGACTTGGTTATATTAAAGGAAGTGCTACACTAATCCTGAGTAATACATTAAGAAAGAAGTATCTGTATCTATTTAACGAACTAAATTTATTCTGTGGTGCAGAAGGACATTCAGAAGCTCCTTGGGGCATGAGTCTTGAACCTCAGCAACATGCATCCCCTCGTCTGCTAGCGTCAGAAATGAAGTAGATAGGTGTAAATTTCACAATCAGTAAATGAAAATGGAATGCCTTTTTCTGCTCTATAGTTCTGATACATCAATGTGTACTTTTGTTTTTCTTTTCCATCATCAGACATGATATGCATTTAGTTTGCCCTACTTGTTCAAATTTCTGCTTAACCATTATCGCAAGTGATCTTATTTACTTCATGTATAGAGTTGCAGAAAAGATTTCTGGTGCAGTGTGGATTCGAAAATTAAAACTCTAATTAGAAAGTTGATCATATTCAGGAGTTTAGTCACTTTATCAACTACCAAGTTTTGCAACTAATCGGATGACATGGCTTGGTTTATTGGTCACTTGACCTCCTTAAATGGGTGGGAGTGGACGAGCTCGTTCCTGTTTTTCCCCATTTTTTTATTTACTCAAAGCAGATAGAACAAACAAGCTTGACGTGTTTAATAATTCAGTTAAATACTTGACGATTTTATTAATTTGGTTGAAGTCAACTTGCACCAGTTTGTCAGGATGAACTCGCCAAAAGTCATAATCATATGGAATGACTTCAAACGTTGCGGCCTGGGGCTTGGCCCAGCTGGTTCGCCTACCTCCTTTCCCGCAAGGCTGGCGTTCTAGCCTGCCCCAGCTCCTGCATTTCCCATTCTCCCTTAATATATATATATATATATATAAAAGACCTCAAACATGTGACATTCAAGGGCTGCGCTTCTTTCCAATGTCAAGTTCCGAGACGAATTAGTATATTATTACACTCCGAGGTTGGACTTTGGAATGTAAAAGGGAGAAGTTATCGTGAAAGCTAACCACTCCGAGATCGAGGGTGTAGAAAAAGGACACTCCTCCAAGGGAACGATAGTAGTAATATTTTATATCAACCAATAATGGAACATGGCCGGAGCCAAGACCCCAGAGGTTTAGTAGTCAACGATGGCCATGCCTAGCCTTTTCCACCATATCTGTCTCTTTTGGGGGGATAGGACGCCGTATCTTTTCCTTTATTAAGCAATAATATAATCTTCGTATGGCATACCTGGGGTAGGTCATGGATTTATAAGATCCTGCAGTCAACGTTTCCTTGTCTGTGATCTCCTTTGATCTATAGCGCCATTTGCAGATCCATGCTCCTTTAAAACCTTAAACATGGATTCCTCAGAGAAAGAGGAACTCGTCGAAGAGTCTTTCTCGAGTACTTCCCAACAACCAGCCTGCAATTCAAACCAAGGCAATATTTTCTCAGTCTTTCTTGAGCCCTTTCAATGGCTACAAATGCTATCTTCCCAGCTAAACCCAACTTTCATTTTTGGCATAGTCCTCGTCTATGGCCTCAGCCAAGGCTTCTCCGGCTCTTTCTTCAAAGTAGTCACGGACTACTACTGGAAAGACGTTCAGAAAGTCCAGCCCTCTGTGGTGCAACTTTACATAGGCCTATACTACATTCCATGGATTATGAAACCTGTCTGGGGTCTGTTCACTGATGTTTTTCCAATAAAAGGCTATAGAAGAAGACCATACTTTGTGGTTGCTGGAGTTGTTGGGGGTGCCTCTGCGTTTATGGTTGCTCTTTTCGGTAACTTGCCCGCTGCTTTGGCATTGGGTTGCTTGATAGGGGTTGCAGCAGGCATGGCAATAGCAGATGTGACAATTGATGCGTGTATTGCAAGTAATAGCATTAAGGTCCGATCTTTGGCTCCGGATATGCAAAGCCTTTGTGGATTTTGCTCCTCTGCCGGGGCTTTAATTGGTTACTCCACCAGTGGGTTTTTTGTTCACCATCTCGGAGCTCAGGTTAGCTTCTTTTCTCTATTTTTTTGAACTTAATAGGTGTCTGATATCTGTACCATTGCAATTTGAAAAATTAGAAGCCACGATTCAGGACTGAATGAAGGTGGCTGCAGATTGAGAAAAATGGCCAGAAGCACTGGCCTTTGACCTCAGAAATTGTCAGTTTTCGCTAAGCACTGATCATTTCAACCTTTGATTATATTCTTTAGTGAAACCAAAAGTTGTAACCATGTTGAGATTCTTCTGTATCAACTCCTAGCGTGGTATCTAAATTCTCTGTCCCTCTTTCTTAACATATATAATTGCTGCAGGGAGCTTTAATTCTTTTGGCAATCCCACCAGTTTTTATCACAGTGTTGGGCTTTGTAATCTATGAAATGAGATCTACCAGCCTTCACTCTGAGAAACACAAGGTTAGATTTTTTCTTCTTTCCATATAAATTCTCCTGCAAATGCTATGTTGCTGCAGTTTGGTAAAACATTAGAGCCATATCTTTTATTACGCCATGGAAACTGCCTGCTTCAGGATCCATCTTCTTTGGATTCTAAGAATTAGTGAAAGATGTAATTGTTGGCTTAACAATTAGGATATCAATCAAACCAATCTAGATCATGGTTGGTAAATTCTACAAATTTTCCATCCCTAGAAAGATTTGCTTTCCTTCTCACTTCATTTAACAAGGACTGAAGCAAATGGATTATGTCAGTGCAGATGTAAGATCTGCAAACTTTATCCTCAGTTGATCAAGAGACAAAAAAAAAATGTTGGTCTAAATTATGAAACTCACAGTTATCCTGCAAGGTTTTGAAAACTCCAGTAGAACATACTGCAGCTTTTCATTTTTTTAATGAAAAGGGGAGGGTTCGGCTGGGGACTATGCTTCCTATGCTGGGGACTGGTGGTTGAACAGCTAACCACTCCACATTACGTTAATATAAGTGTAGACTATAACCAAGAACTTCTCATGTTTATGTTTGAAAGTGTAATGACGATATTCTCGTTGTTTTTTCAAAGAAAAATCAACTTCTTTATGTTAACTTATAATTTAATCTGTTGAAGGTATGTTATCATTCAGCAACTAGCATTTCTTAAAAGTTCAGATATCAACATCAAGTCCCTTGCCTTATAATCCTGTTCCATGTGCAAAACGCCTTTTTTTATAATGAAGGAATTGATATCAGCTTCAGTCTCTATAGTTTACACATCTCGTCTATAACTATGCTGATATCTATAACATGAGGAGAAGAGGGTTATCTGTCAATGGCAACTCGAGCCATTAAAGCTTAAAAGTTCTGTTCAACTTGAACAACTTAAACTCTGTCAAAGATGGGAAAAGAAAACCTGAACATTCCTTTGAGAAGTGATGAATACTTGTAATCTTCCGAACTCTATGCTAATATATACTATTTCCCACTTCTTAACGCATCTATGTTGTGTGGATGCTTATACAGGCAATGGAAACCTTAGGAGGTGCCCTGAGGGGGATGTATCAGACAATCAAGTTCCCTCAGGTGTGGAAGCCGTCGCTGTACATGTACCTCTCTTTGGCTCTGAGTATAAGTACTCATGAAGGGCAGTTTTATTGGTACACTGATCCGAAAGCTGGTCCTGCATTCTCTCAGGTTTCTCATTATCCCAGTTAAAACAGTAGAGTACTCTACCATATCCCTTTCACATTTCTTCTTATGCAATCTTTCTTAAGTGCAGGAATTTGTTGGGGTCATCTATGCAATTGGTGCAATGGCTTCAATGGTGGGGGTCCTGATCTATCACAAGACACTAAAAGACATTCCATTCAGAAACCTACTCTTTTTCGCTCAACTCCTTTATGGCACATCTGGGATGCTAGATCTGATCTTCATCCTTCGATGGAACTTAGTCCTCGGAATCCCAGATTACTTCTTTGTCATCATGGAAGAATGTGTCTCACGAATTATCAGCAGAATAAGGTGGATTCCTATGATTGTATTAAGCACCAGGCTTTGCCCTCTAGGCATTGAAGGCACATTTTTTGCACTGCTAATGTGCATTGACAGCCTCGGTTCCCTGACATCCAAATGGGCCGGAGGGATTGTTCTTCACACGTTGCATGTCACCAGGACTGATTTTACAAACCTGTGGTTGGTTGTTCTCATTAGAAACACCCTGAGATTTGCAACTCTGGGTCTAATTTTTCTCGTCCCCAAGGCTGATCAATCAGATGCTTTGATCCCCCCAGATATTCTGACAAACAATTCAACTGTAACAGCAGATGATGAGGGCTTGGAACTTGTCTCTAAGAACGAAATAGATGAAATCTAGCTGTGCTTTTACATGTTTATATAAAATAGAGCCTGGACCGGTAAAGAATGAACCTGGATGACACCCCCAGGTTCATGGTTCTCAAGCTCAACCTGACGATTGCATTCATACTCAGATGTCAAGAGGGATCGTTCAGGATTTTTCCTATTCCCTTCCTGAGGGTTCACTGCCAAAGTTGATGGCTGGCTTCCCCATTCTCCAGGGGAAAGTTCTGTGCCGAACAAATAAATATAAATACGATACAATTAATTAAAGAATAAAGTTTTTAAATATACACAAGTACATTAATTATTCATATATTATATAAGTATGATATGATTAATATTTTTATTAAATAAATTTTACATAATACCATATAATTATAATAAAATAAACTTATGTAAACATGATTAATTTATTTAAATAAATATTATAAAAAATAAATATATCATATTATATAAATTGATCGTACTAAATGTATTATGTACGATTTTAATGCATTTAAAACACGAAATATAATAATTTTAAGACTCAAAATCTCGTTTAACGTTTACGGATAGGTGCTCAAAATGACTTCATGACCACAATAACATTTACAAAGTCTGGGTCAACCATTCAGACGACGTGGCAGAACACCAATTATTTACCTTAAAATTTATTTTTATGTTTTTGATCTTCGTCTCTGGGAGGCTTCCATCTTTTGGTTTCTAATCACTTTTGGGCAGCAGATTCTCTCTTTCTTCCCTCTCTCTCTCTCTCTCTCTCATCTCAGTTCTACTCCCAACATCGAATCACATGGTAATTCCTCTTTCTCTTTTTCCTTTTTTTTTTGGTCTTCCTTCGTTCATTTCCTTTCCTGATTAAGCTGATTTTGCTTGTAAAATCTCACCTTTTTTAATCTCCCTGAACCTAGGGTTTCTTCAAATGTTACTCGCGCCTTTTAGTACGAAACCAGGGCACTGGGTTCTCAAATCTCTGTTATTTTTTTAATTATTATTTCACGATTTAAGATTTCTTTTTTTTTTTTGGTAGGAATTGATTGTTCATTGATTTGATTCTTGCTGGCGTGTGAATGACGCTGGAACCTATTTCAGTTTTTTTATTGGATTGATATGGTTCGTTGTGCGTTTTTTGATCCCCTTTTTCCTTTTTTGTGATAATTTAGGCAAACAGGCACACCATTGTTTTGATGCAAACTTCGCAGAACAGAGCAACTAGAACGTTTATGGATTATGATTCCATCAGTCAAGCTATGGATGGTATGCTTTTTGTTACAGTTGCTTTTATTATCTTTTGTGTTAAAAGGTAGCTAGTCATGTCATCTAAACTGTTTTCTGGGATTTCAAGAGGAGGATGATCAGACGAAGATAATAGCTTTGAATAGATCAGTTTTATGCTTGCTCTTGGTGTTTACCTCTTGTTGCAAAGCCTTTAGTTTTATGGAAGTGTTGAGGTACCTCTTGGCTAATGGTTTGTTTCTACAATTGGGGTTTAGAGGTGGATAGCAAAGCAATCAAAATGGAGCTTTATGATAGGATACATCATACATTTCATACATTTTATAAACTTCCTATTGCATTAGTGTTCTTGAAAACAGCTTCTATGTCAGGCAGTGGACTGTACCTTTTGGGAGTTGGCTTGTGTTGTTGAAAATGATTTTTAGATTTGATTTTGTGTATGTCTTTTCTCCCTCAAGAATGTATGTCCAAAATTGTTTATATTTCTGTGTTGCATTAAGAGAAAATGAATCAGTGTGGTTTCAACATGATGCACCGGATGGAATCCCCTCTCTTCTTCCTTTCCATTGTTTGAAAGATTTAACAATTTTAACGGTATGTGCCATTTGCCATGTGCAGGGATATGTGGGCTATATGAAAGGAAACTTAAGGAGCTAAATCCAGCAACTCGAAACATCACATATGACATTGGTGATCTTTACAATTTTATTGATGGCCTTGCAGATATGAGTGCCCTCGTGTATGACTCTCTCTCTTCCTCCACCTTTTTCTTGGACCATTCCATGTATTGTATGTTATATTGCATGTTTACCGAGTCACGTGTCAATCAAGTGTCACAAAAACTATCAAAGGCATGAATTTCTCATGTCAAACTGACCCCAACAAATAAGTATGTGTTTTCAGTCCATGAGTTACGATGGATAATTTCTTTTTCTGCTGAAACTCAGATGTGTTCGTGAATGAGTTTTGTCCAACTTATAACAATAGATATGCCTTATTTCTTAAGGCAGAAGGCAGAGTCATACTGAGGACTATCAAGGCCCAAGGAAATGAATGTGGGTGATGGACAGACTCTGTATTGCTTAGATGCTCTAAGACAAGAACTGAGATGGTCCAATCAATCATGCATTAAAGGATGAGCGTGGCTTTACTTATATGGGAGATAATATCTTTCTTTTCTGGGGAGGGGGTAGGGGGTTATGTTGTATGCATCCATGTTATTATTCCTTCTGTGGGGTAACTAATTGTATCATCTATTTCTGGCTTGCAGCTATGATCACACTATTCAAGCTTTTTTGCCCTATGACAGACAATGGATCAAACAGAAAGTATTTCAGCACCTCAAGAAGTTGGCGCATTAAATCCTCTTATGCTAAATTTTCAGTGAAATTGAATTTAATAGAAAGAGAATGTGTATCAGGTGCAGAAGACCTCATCTGATAATTTGTGCTCTTTGTTCCCTCACTGTGCACATATATTTGATAACCATTCTAGCTTTCGTCCGAGTTTCAGATGCATAGCAAAGGTGTTGTGTGGTCGATGTTGTACTCTAAGCAAAAATACTCTTCTTGTCTGTTTACCTTGTATAATCATATAATATTTGGTTGCCTGGTTGAAAACTCGTGAGTATCTCATCTAACCTAGCATTTGGATGATTGTTAGGGTTGGTTTGTCGAGCTGTGATATCTGATTCTGCTATGCCAATTCTAATATAGTGGTCATTGTTTTACATGCGTATCGCATCGGGTTTGAATGTTGATAGGAAATGTGTCATAGCTACATGTTTTCTACTAGAGCTGCTGTTTTCTTTCTCCCCTGCTGTGTCTCTCTGTTATGCTTGAAGGCTGGAAACCAGTCAATTTTGGAAAAATTTGGTCGTTTTCTCTGTGAAGTCAAGACTTTAATTGGTTTTGGCTGGAACCTTCAAAAATTTGTTTCTATTTCGAGGTTAAGCGATTAAAAGGCATATTGTTTTAAATTGAGATTTAGTGTAGTAATCCCTTCAAAAAAAATGGGGATAATTTTGTTAACAAAATAATAGTTGAAGTTTCATTGTGTAGAAATATAAAAATAATAGTCCCTTCGGATTATCTTTGTCTATCTATTCTTCATTTTTGTTATTAAAAATGAGTATTTTATAAGTTTTATTTTAAAATTTTAAAAATTGAATTTATTGAACTTTTTAAAGTGGTAATCGAAATCGATCAAATTATATTAAAAGATGAAATATGATCGAAATTGATTTATATAGGTTGATTTAGAGATATATATTTTAAAAATATTAATAATATATAATATTTATTTAAAAATATATATTAATAATAACTGTTTTTTTATTGATTTTATTATAAAATTGAAATATAGAAAATTAATCAAAATAATAGAATAAATTATTCATTTTAATCTATTAATGTTAAAATAAAAAAATAAATTTAATTAATCAAATTCAATCAATTTAACCTCAAATCTACTTTTGGTAAAGAAGTCATTAATCATTAGGGTTTACTTCAGACTTCCAATGCTAGCGTTTAACCACTGGCGTTCTCAATTCTAATATACGCTTTGGCTGCGAACGTAAAAAGCCCAAAACTTTTTATATGTTGGAAGTAAATAAATGACTATACACTGACGAGCTTAATTTCATCTGTTTTTAATTTCCCTACCTTTTCTCTCTGACCCCAGCCTAAGATTCGATCCTCTTAACCTCACAAAACCTTCGATTTGGTCAGGTATGGTTCCACGCCTTCTTCTCTTGCCCTCCCGCTGGGAGCTCTAATTTGCTAGGGTTTTTTTTACCGTATATTAGGGACTGATCAGTTTGATGGGGGGCGTGTAAATTGATATGTTTTATGCGGTTAAATGATTAGGGTTTTGAATGTTTGATTCATTCATTTGAAGATGAGTTCATTTTCAATCACGCGCAAGAAAACCCCTTTCCAGAAGCACAGAGAAGAGGAAGAAGCCAAGAAGAAGGTATGGCGAGTTCATTTAGCTACAAAGCTCAAAAATTTTAATTAAATTGGTTTACTTTTAGGATTTCCAGCTTCTTTATACAGTTTGATTAACTCGATTGAGCTAAAATATAACTTTGGTTTTTGGCCTTTTTTTGTAATCAGAGGGCGGAGGATGAAACAGCTCGATTGTATGAGGAGTTTGTGGCGTCATTTCAGGGAGATAATGCTCCAGGGTCGAAGGCATTTGTTCGTGGTGGAACAATCAATCCCAATGAGAGATCGAAGTCCGATTCTGAAGGTCAGTCTGATTTGGGGACTCAACATTTGTGTTTTCAGTATTGATTTTAATATATTTGTCTCAGTTTTTAAGTGTCAAAGTTTTTGTTTTGCACTATGGATTAGTAGAATGATTTTTCTATTATATCATGAGGACACATTAATAAAAACATGGGCCTTTTTTATTCATTCGCGGATGGCAGGTGAAAAGTCCAAAGATGGGGTGTCTGTTCCAAAGAAGGGAAGTAGGTAAATAATTGCTTTTGATTAACCATGCTGCAATGCTAATGCTGTTTTGGTAAGGCATCATAAATAGAAAATTACATGGTGATAATAGTGATATTCTCATTCTAGCCTTGTATTTTTAAAGGCTTCTAAAGTTTCATGAAAAAAAATTTTCATATAGCAGTTCGTTGCAACATGCATGCCATTAGATTTGAAAAGATTCTATCAGTGGGAGTGCTATTCTACTTTAGAAAAAGAAATAAGTACTAGTTATTTGAAGCATTATATTTCTTGTTTATAATCTTCTGAATGAAAACTCTTTTCTGCCACTCCATTGTGGAATTGTTGCATATTTAGCTTACTTAGATGTTCTAATCTGCATTTTGAATGAAAACTCTGTGGCAAGTTAATCAAATGTTGGTTTCTGGAATAGTGTAGGAGGAATTTGAGACTGTTCCATATCCAGTTGACAAGCTGCAATATAGTAATTAAAGTTAACAAGGAAAAAAATTATTACAGCAGTCATTCTTTTTATTTCTTAAAGATCAAATCAAATGAATGGTTAAATTTTGGTCATTAAATCTCTTACAATTGACAATATATCATGTTGTACCTTCATGTCATCATTTCAGTCCACCCTGTTGTTATGTTTGAACTTTAAGGCTCAGATAAGTGCAAAAGATAGAACTGTAGATTAAATTTATGGTAGTAATCATTGTGTTAGATGGAAATAAGTGGGAGTTGTGTCATTGACTTGAGGTCGGGAAGGCCTTCAACTCAATTAAACTCCAAACTAGTGGGGTTAGTTGCACGAAAGATTTTCTTTACTTGTGGAATTTCTAAGTTGGTTAGATAACCTTATTTCATGTTATATTGGCTTTTGAAGGGAAGTAGCCAACCTTTCTATTTTTTTTTTCTGGCATGCTGGTTTTCCTTCCATTTTTTAAATATGTCACTGGCCTTCCATTTAATATTATTAACATTTTGGAAAGTTTAAATTTTTTAGGATTTGGTAATAATTTCAGTTTGTGCAGTTACAACTGCATTTTAGCAAATTTAAACTGTTCATAAAAGAATGAAGCTTATTTGAGATCTAATTTGGATACCTCGAATTTCATCTGCCTACTACCAAATGCTATTAAAATGCTTTTAATTGGATTCCTTGAAGGAGGCTATTCAAGCATGCTTACATCCAAACAATAAAATTTTAGCTAAAAATAAGTCCACTAACGAAATCTAAGAACTAGATTAGTATGCGTCGGTGTCACATAAAACATTTAATAATGGTTAATCTAGAAAGTCCCCTTTAAAGTTCATTGATGAATAAAAGCGATGACGTTCTGCTAAAGAATGAGTGGAACCGTTAAGCGAGTATTTCTGTGAAGTGGAATTTTATCTTTCAAATTATTTCTGCAGGTATGTTCCATCTTTCATACCACCTCCTATGGCAGCCAAGGGAAAGGAATCTGAGAAGAAGGTGAATTTTGTTAATGAAATTATGGCACATGTCTATAATTATATCATTTGCAACTGAGTTTTCAGTTTTTGATATTCACATTCTAACCTTTAAAAATGTCGTTTGTAGAAGGAGGAGGAAAGGCTGAAGGAGAAAGAGAAGGGAAAGTCTCGAAACATTGATAATTTTATGGAGGAGCTGAAGCATGAACAAGAGATGAGGGAGAGGAGAAATCAGGAACGTGAACATTGGCGTGATGGGCGTCATACTGACAGTTCTGCTGTAAGTGTTTCAGCGGGATTCAATTTGTTATTCAATAATAGGGTCTAATTGCATCAATAGTTCATCTATCTTTCCCCTTTCCCCCTTCCCCCCTTTGTTTCTTGCTCTTAGATTTATGGGGATTTATGAGTAATCTGAGTATTTTTCATTTTGTCATGTAGCATCTCTATCTTGTATGACATTTTATCTGAATTTTGCTTCTTAACCTTTGGCTGTTCCTTTCCCAGCCATCCAGTCGGTTTGATGAACTGCCTGATGATTTTGATCCGAGTGGAAAACTGCCTGGATCATTTGATGATGGTGATCCACAAACGACAAATCTCTATGTTGGAAATCTGTCACCAAAGGTATCTTTGTTGTTTTTAAATTGTTGCTTTTAATCTGCTTTACCCATTTGTGGCTTAGTAGTTGTTATTCATTTTTTTTCTAACTATAGTGTTCTTTTACATCTAGGTTGATGAAAATTTTCTTCTGCGAACTTTTGGAAGATTTGGGCCTATTGCTAGTGTGAAGATTATGTGGCCTAGGACAGAGGAGGAGCGGAGACGGCAAAGAAATTGTGGCTTTGTGGCTTTCATGAATAGAGCTGATGGACAAGCTGCAAAAGATGAAATGCAAGGTATGTTCCCTGAGCCTTTATTGTA